ATTAACAATTCCTTATACATCATTTTTTATAAAAAAAATGCTAAAAAAAAATTCCTTATAAAATATAAGGAAATGTAATACGGAATTTTAAAAAACGTATACAAAACTTATTTATAATAATGAAAAAACGTATGCAAATTTTTTATAGGGAAGGTGGATTTTGAATTGAAGTAGAGATTGGATGTTAATTAGAAAAGGAAAAACATGATCCTTATAAAGTAAGTAAAATACCAAAGTTAACTTATTATAATAAATAGGATCTAGTGACTCATGGATAAAAGCAGCAAAGGAAATCCAAAAATTAGAAAGATTTTTTAATCAGCAAGTTAAATTAATGCAAGAAAGTTTTCAAGATAAAGAAGAAGAAACCTTCATACTTATCTGGTTAACAGAAGATATGATTTTAAATTTGAAGAAAAATTTAAAGAAAAATTTTAATGAGATGTTAGCAAAAGAATATATTAAGAAAAGGTTTATATTTGAATATCTTGTATATTTGTTAAATGAAAAGAAGAAAATAAAGGCAAGTATAGATGTGATAAATATGATATACAATAGTAATAGCAAATTAAAGGCTATTTGGATTCAGCAGACAGTAAAATATTAGTATATTAATAATGTTTTGCCTCTATCTTGTCAGAAAAAAACATCAAAAGGTCAGCAGGATTATTAATGATGAAGATATTGCTAAAATATGTCATAAGTGGATTCAAAAAAATGAAAGTCATATAACTTCACATAATTTGTTCAAGATATATTATTATTGAAAATTAGTATTAATAAGAATACAATTAGTATAAGTACTATAAGAAGATAGTTGAATGTGCTTGAATACTATTATCAACAACAAAAATAAGAAATAAATTATGATAGACATGAGAGAGATGATGTTGTGGAATATCGAAAAGTGTTTTTATCAAAAATGGTATGAAAAATATATGATAATATATGAAAGAGATAATATGAAGAAAGTTGGTCTTTCATTAACTTTAGAACAAAAAGAATATATATTAATAGTCTATGATGAATGCATTTTTTACTTAAATGATGGAAAATGTGAAACATGGACTAAATCAGGTGAATTACTATTACATAAAAAAGGTAATAAAAAATCAATTATGGTAAGTGAGTTTTTAACTGAAGCTTGTGAAAAACTTAAACTAACTGTTAAACAAATTGAGAACTATCCTGATATTTCAGAAGAAGCATAAGTATATTTAAAATCAGGAAAGACTGATGAAGGATATTAGACAACTGGATACCTTATTAAACAAGTTGAATATAAAGTTATTCCTATATTTGAAACCTTATTTTTAAATTGTGTTAGAGTATTTACTTTTAATAATAGTTCAAATCATTCTGCATTTGCTTCTGATGTATTAGTTGCAAAGAAGATAAATATTGGACCTGATGGAAATGCACCAAAGATGTGTGATACTTTTTTGGGATTTAAATAATGAAAGACAAAGTATAAATTCTTCTGATAGTCAGCTAAAAGATATAAAATAAGTTTTGATTGAACGAGAATTGTAGAAAAAAAATATGATAAGAGAATGCAAATTATGTAAAAGCAAAATTGATGATCTTTTACGTGTAGATTGTTGTAAAAAATGGATTATATCTCTTCAATCAGATTTTTAGCTCAAAAATCTGCATTAGTTGAAACAATTAAAAATGCTAATCACATTTGTGTATTTTTTCTAAAATTTCATTGTGAGTTAAACTTTATTGAATATTATTGAGAAGCAGTCAAATGATATACATGAAACAATTGTAATTATACATAGAGTGGATTACAAGAAATAGTCTATCATACTTTAAATTCTATAGATTTAATAACTATTCGTAGATTTGCAAGAAAGACATGGTAATATATAAATTTATATAGACATAGAATTACAGGTAAGTTAGCAGAATATGCTGCTAAAAAATATAAATCACACAGAAAAATTCCTGAAAATGTATTAAAAGAATTAAATAAAACAAATTAAATAACAATATTTTTTTAATTTTAAAAGTTTTCTTTTGCTTCATGATTTAATAAATTAAACTATAAATCAATAATTTTGATATAAAATCACATGTAATTTTAATCACGTATTTGTTTGATGGGGAATCTTAACCTGCATCAGGAGGTCTAGGATTTTAACCTGGACCCTCCAAATTTGATTGGTTCATCATGATCCCAGCTACATTAATTAATTATTTATTTACTGTTTACCATTACGCACGATAATAAATCTCTCTTTCACATCTTTTTCATGTTTTTTCATGTTTTTTTAAGCT